GGCGTCGGCGCCCGGCGGCCGGCGCGCGCCCGCCCGCAGCACCGCGCCGCACGCCTTGTTCTTGCAGCTGAGCCCCCGCGTGCCGTTGAAGGTGCCGCAGCGCGGGCAGCGGCGGATGCCGCGCAGCGTGGCCTTGCCCAGGTCCGACAGGAAGGACGGCGCCTGCGGCCGGCCCGGGCACGGGTCCATGGCGCTGCGGGGGGACGGCACGGGGTCACGGGGGCAGCCTGGGCCGGTGACAGCCTGAGGGACTGTGCCACCCCGAGGGACCCTGTGCCACCCCAGTGACCACCCTGAGGGACCCTGTGCAACCCAGTGACCACCCTGTGCCACCCCAGTGACCATCCTGAGAGCCCCTGTGCCACCCCAGTGACCACCCTGAGAGACCCTGTGCCACCTCAGTGACCACCCTGTGCCACCCTGAGGGACCCTGTGCCACCCCGAGAGACCCTGTGCCACCCCAGTGACCACCCTGTGCCACCCTGAGGGACCCTGTGCCACCCCAGTGACCATCCTGAGAGACCTTGTGCCACCCTGAGAGACCCTGTGCCATCCTGACAGGCCCTGTGCCACCCTGAGAACTCCTGTGCCACCTCAGTGACCACCCTGAGAGCCCCTGTGCCACCCAGTGACCACCCTGAGGGACCCTGTGCCACCCTGACAGGCCCTGTGCCACCCTGAGGGACCCTGTGCCACCCCAGTGACCATCCTGAGAGACCCTGTACCACACTGAGGGACCCTGTGCCACACTGAGAGACCCTGTACCACACTGAGGGACCCTGTGCAACCCAGTGACCATCCTGAGAGACCCTGTGCCACCCCTGTGCCACCCTGTGGCACCCCAAGAGTCCCTGTGCCACCTCAGTGACCACCCTGAGGGACCCTGTGCCACCCTGACAGGCCCTGTGCCACCCTGAGGGACCCTGTGCCACCCCAGTGACCATCCTGAGAGACCTTGTGCCACCCTGAGAGACCCTGTGCCATCCTGACAGGCCCTGTGCCACCCTGAGAACTCCTGTGCCACCTCAGTGACCACCCTGAGAGCCCCTGTGCCACCCTGACAGTATCTGTGCCACCTCCCCTCACCCGGGGCTCTCTCCCCTCACCCCAATCCCCAGTCTCTTTCCTCTCTCCCCTCACCCCGGCTCTCTCCCCTCACCCCGGGGCTCTCTCCCCTCACAGCCCCGGGTCTCTCCCCTCAGCCGCAGGCCCCTCTCCTCTCACGGCCAGCCCCGGGGGTCTCACCCCCCCCTCACCGGCGCTTGCCGGGGTTTCCCAGCATCCCTCGCGGCCCGTGACGTCAGCTCCGCCGCCGGGCCCGCCCCGGTACCCGGGCCCCGTTACGGCCGCCGGCAGCGCCGTGAGAGGGGCTCAACTTCCGCCACCGGCGCGCTCCTATTGGCTCGCTTGCATCACGTGCGCACCGCGGGGGCTGCCGGGAGTTGTAGTCCAAGGAGGCGCTTAACCCGCTAGGCCGCTTGGACTACAACTCCCAGCAGCCCCCGCGGCGAGAATCCCCAATTTCTCTTTTTTCCCCTAAATTTCGCCTTTTTCCCCCCAAATTCCACTCATTTCCCCCCCAAATCCCTGCAGCTCCACCCGCCCCCCTCAGCCCCAGCGCACCACCACGTGACAAAACACAGCACACAAGCAGCTCCGGTTTTTTCATTTTCCTTTTTTTTTTAAAAAAAAAGTTTTTGTATTTTTTCCATTTTTGTGAGTTTTTTGTGGTTTATTTTAAAGGCTGGGCGAGAGGTAGGATAAAAAAGGGCGTTTTTTGGCCTCTGACAGATCAGGCTGGGGAGCTCTTCACCCCCTTGTGAAACACACCTGGGCTATGGAGGGGATTTACACAATGCATTAAAATCTTTATATTCCAAGAGACATATCCACAAAAAAAGGACAAAAAAATGAAGACTTGAGGCATAAATCACATCAAAAGGCTCTGTGTCCTACCTTTAAATAAGGAAAAGATACAAAAGTGGCCGAAGGTTGTGCAAAAATTCTTCAATTTGCTCTCAGTATTTTACAGAATCAGTACAGGAAAATGTAGAAATCAGTAAAAAATTAAAAAAACCCAACCAAGCCCCGGAGGGATCTGTCACGTTTTAGCAACAGGAATTCTGCTGTCCCAGGGTGGGAGTCTTGGCTCACGTGGGGAGAGCTGGGCACCTCCCAGTCCCTTTTTAAAAACTTTTATTTTATTTCTTGTTCACTTTTACTTTTCCCCAGCATAAGGCAAAAACCCAACCCTGAAAACCACACTGAGATCCACCAGGAAAGATGTAAACGAAGGATTTCTGGTGCACAAAACCTCCTTAGAGGGGCTCCTCCCCAGCAGGGGCGTGGGCTGCAGGCAGCTCACACCCCCACGCTTTTGGGGCGGCTTTTCCTGCGGGAAACCCCGAAAAAGCCCCAAAAAACCCCCCAAGGATGGCTTTGTGCAGCGCTGCCGCGGCCCCGGGCCGCAGCGATCCCTGCAGTGTCCCAAGCACAGCTGGAACGCCCGGCAGGGCTGGTTTGGGTCCACGGGGGGCTCAGGGGGTCTCGAAGCCCACGCGGAAGCCGGGCTGGGGGGGCAGCACGGCGCCGTTCTGGCCCTGCACGCTGAACGGGGGAGGCACCCATGGGGCTGGGGGCTGGCTCTGCCTGTGGGGAGAGAGGAAAATCATTCAGGTATTGGTAAAATATCCTTAGGGATTGGTAAATTAAATTAAAATCATCCAGGGACTGCTAAAATATCCTTTAGGGATTGCTAACAAAGCTGCACGCTGAACGGGGGAGGCACCCACGGGGCTGGGGGCTGGCTCTGCCTGTGGGGGGAGAAACGGCCTTTAGGGATTGGGAAAATATCCTTGGGGATTGCTAAAGTATCCTTCAGGGATTGGGAAATTCAATTAAATCATTTAGGGATTGCTAACAAAGCTGCACGCTGAACGGGGGAGGCACCCACGGGGCTGGGGGCTGGCTCTGCCTGTGGGGGGAGAAACGGCCTTTAGGGATTGGGAAAATATCCTGTAGGGATTGGGAAATTCAATTAAATCAATTGGGGATTGCTAACAAAGCTGCACGCTGAACGGGGGAGGCACCCACGGGGCTGGGGGCTGCCTCTGCCTGTGGGGGAGAAATCATCCTTTAGGGATTGGGAAATTAAATACAACCCTTTAGGGATTGCTAAAATATCCTTAGGGATTGTTAAATTATCCTTTAGGGATTGCTAAATTAAATAAAGCTCCTTCAGGAATTGCTGAAATATCCCGTGGGGGTCCCTGACCAAGGCCTGGAGGCCGTGGGGAGGGCTCTGGGGGTCGGGGGTGATGCACTGGGGTCTCTCGGGGTGGCCCCAGCCCGCTGGGGGATGAGGACAGGACCCCTCCCCAAGGGACAGAGCTGGAGGGAAGGGCTGGCACTCACCCAAAGCCCTGCTGGCTCCAGGCCTGGCCGTAGACGCCGTAGGCGGGCACCTGCCAGCCGTTGGGCACGTACTGGCCCAGCTGGGCCCCGCCGTACCACTGAGCCCACTGCCCGTAGGCCGGCGGGTAGCTCAGCTGGCCCTGCGGACACACGGACACGGGTGGGGAGGGCACCCAGGGACAGCCGTGGATCCAGCCAGCCATCCATGGATCCAGCCATCCATGGATCCATCCATCCATCCATGGATCCATCCATCCATCCATCCATCATCCATCCATCATCCATCCATCCATCCATCATCCATCCATCATCCATCCATCCATCCATCCATCCATCCATCCATCCATCCATCCATCCATCATCCATCCATCCATCCATCCATCCATCCATCATCCATCCATCCATCATCCATCCATCCATCCATCCATCCATCCATCCATCCATCATCCATCCATCCATCCATCCATCATCCCTCCACCCTCCCTGTGCCCCCCAGCTCCCAGCCAATTAGCAGTGGTTAATTAGCAGCAGCCTGACCTGCTGCACCGGGCTGGCCATGTCGGGGGTCTCCTTGCCCCAGTAGCACTTGACCACGTGGCCCTCGATGGTGGTGCCGTTGACGGAGACGATGGCGTGGGCAGCGCTCTCATGGGAACTGAACCTGCGCCAGGGAGACGGATTGATTGGGGTATTGATTAATTGGGATATTGACTGGGGTATGGATTGGAACATTGATTGGGATAGGGATTGGGATATGGATTGGGTTATTGATTAACTGGGATATTGACTAGGGTATTGATTGGAATATCGATTGGGATATGGATTGGGGTATGGATTGGGTTATTGATTTGGGTAGAGACTGGGGTATGGATTGGGATATTGACTGGGGTATTGACTGGGGTATTGATTGGAATATTGATTGGGATACTGACTGAGATATTGATTGGGAATATTTATTGGGATATTGATTGGGACCTCCCCATCCCTCTCCCCCCTGGAACCCCTCCATCCCTCCCAATCCCACTCCCCCCCGGGCCCCTCCATCC